AGTCCTGTTACTCCTGGATTAAGGAATTATCAGTAAAGTTGACACATCCTGAGGTTGTAAGGACTTTATTATGGACTCGTCCTTGCTATTATTTAAGTAGGGGGATTGCATGTGCTGATCCTTGTAAGCTGGCTTGAGGGGATCCCAACAATCCCCACAGTAGAAACATGTCAGCACAGCTCTTCTGGGGCCAGACTTCCAGAGGGAAGGGAAGAGAAAAAGGTTGGTAGGGAGTTGCTGGAAACAAAGGACCATGTGCCTCCTGTCAAGTTTGGGGTTCAGATTTCCTGTTTCAGAGGGGGAATAGGGAGCAAACTATATTTCAATCCAATAGAAGAACTTAGACAAAACCACAGGATAACCTTTTGAATGTTTCACCTCGCTGGAGAGGGGCAATTTGACCTTACTTTCCAATTGCAGGGTCAGCTACTCCTGTCCAGCAGTCCCCATTGTTGGCAAGAGGGAAGGTATTTTTTGATTTGCAAACTTTCACTAATACAGGTGTGTAAAGAGGAAATAGTCCAGCTTGACTCCCAGTTCTCGAAGAGAATTTGTGGGAATGTCAGGTGCTAAGACCTAAGACCATTTTATTGCAGAAATCAGCGTCAGAAAATAAATGCGGAGCACCACAGTTCATAACACTATTCAGAATTGAACCACATTTCAAAATGCAATTAACAATAAGGGTAGAGGTGATAAGAAGGAACAGTGACAGTTGTGACTGAAGGACATTTTGCTTCTAGAGTAGTTGTCGTCTCTACCACTGACCTAAATATTGGTTTCCGTTTGTCCTTTCATCCTGTTTGACCTAGTCTTTAAATTTATTTTAATGAAAATAGTTTCCCAAGTATTAATTTTTTGTTACGTTTGGTCCATTATTTCAGTGTTCCAATGTGTGAGTGCGCTATGTGAAAGGGAGGTTGCCATGGTAATTTCTCATTATTGTTGAATAGAAAAATAATTACTCTGGCAAAATCCCACGTAACCTGTCAGCGCATAAGTTAAAGATGCCTGGGGGCAGCCTTGACTTCAACATCCTTCTTTTTTGTGTGGAAAGAGATTTTTTTTATCCTTTTTTTTCTTACTAATTCTATCCATATTCTGCAGTTTGACTGGGGATACCTCCCTTAGTTTTGTTCACCATTTGACTCTGGGCACTGTTGGGCCCACTTGTGAGGAGATTGGACCAGAGAATTAATCAGGGAAGTGTATCTAATTCTTTATGCAAAATTTATACATTCCCCTGAGTGATTGGTTTTCCTTCTTCCTAATTTTAAGTATGCAAAAAAAACACAAAGAAAAATACTTTGGACAATATTCAAATTGCAATAGAAGGTGGATGTTTTTATTTGTCCTTTGAGACAATCTATGATAATGTAGTAGCTACACTTTCCTACCCTTAAGAATTACTGGGAATGAGAAGGAATGAAAGTATCTGTGGTTTGAGCTGAAGCTCTGCTCTTTTTCCTATGCTCTTTGCTTTTGTTTTATGTACGCATTACAATTGTGTGATGCTTCTTTTTTGCTTCTCTCACTGTTGGATTTTCATTAGTAGCCGTGATCCTTCTGTAATAAAGAACTAAAAGGAGCTGTTCCACTGCAAAATGGTAAATGTGGTATGTAACTCTGCTTAACCCGCCATCCCCTTTTCAGGTACAAGAAGCACGTCCAAAAGACTTGAATAGAACGGGGCAGTGCAGCATCCCTTTTGACAAGTGATTAAAAGTAGGAGCTCATAATTATTGGCTGGGCTCTAAACTATTACAGGCAAACTTATGATAGCAACTTACCAGACTGCCATGAGTGAAGCATAAGTGCTTAAAATACGGAGGGGTTCTGTTATGGAATATATCTATCTATCTGTTCTGTGCTTGGCACTATAGTGCCTCAGCTAATAAATATATCAGTGTGTCCATGTGCACACACCCATAAAAATTACAAAGCCACGCAGAAGAGAGCAGGAATCTCTCACTGACAATAGACTTATGAAAAGTGGGGTCAGTATTTTTTAATTTTAAAATCTTGTTTCATCTTTTTTGAGAGCGTGACTTGAATTATTTCTCAGGAACTCAAAAGCTGCTCTGTTCCTGATGACAC